TGATGATGATGATGATGATGATGATGATGGTGATGATGGTGATGATGGTGATGATGATGGTGATGATGGTGATGGTGGTGATGATGATGATGATGATGGTGATGGTGGTGATGATGATGGTGATGGTGGTGATGATGGTGGTGATGGTGGTGGTGATGGTGGTGATGATGGTGGTGATGATGGTGGTGATGGTGGTGATGATGGTGGTGGTGATGGTGGTGATGGTGGTGATGGTGGTGATGATGGTGGTGATGGTGGTGATGATGGTGGTGATGGTGCTGGTGGTGCTGGTGGTGGATGGTGATGATGTATTGATGTTATGGTGGTGATTATGGTGATGATTGTGATGATGGATGTGGTGATGATGATGATGAGGTGGTACTGATGGCGATAGTATTTATGGCGATGCTAAGGCTGACATATTTCCTCTCTTACATGCAGAGCAATGCAGTTTCTGAATGACTTTCAACAAATCAAAATTGAAGATATCCTTCCCTTCTTTCCAGATTTTGTTACGATCGACCACTTTAAGGTAGCACTTTCCGAACTATAGCAAACGGTTGACAATTTAGGAATGAACAACAACCCTGATAGATTTTAATAACTTCATGTTTTTGACAGGATGCAATATGTTCGTCTTTGGAGGAATATAACCAACACATTAATGAACTCAAAACTGAAATGCAGGTTCGAATTTTTGTGTCCTTCTGGTGACAATAGCACATCTTCCATTCTACAATAAACTATCATGGTTTGTGTCTGAACTACACGAAAAAGATATCTCAAACGTGGTAGGCTGGTGTAGTATTATACAACAAGCTGTCGTGGTTTGTGTTTGAACTACCTGAAAAGATATCTCAAACGTGGGGGTGCAGTGTAGGTAGTATTCTACAATAAACTGCCATGGTTTATGTCTGAACTACCTGAAAAAGATATCTCAAAGAGGTATTGTGTAGGTAGTATTCTACAATAAACTGTCATGGTTTGTGTCTGAACTACCTGAAAAAAAGATATCTCAAACGTAGTGGTCCAGTGTAGGTCGTATTCTACAATATGCTGTTACGGTTTGTGTCTGGCTACCCGAAAAAGATGTCTGGGGCGCAACTTGACTGTATGTATTGGGGGGGGGACGTTCTTCTTCCCTGGTAAAAGGGTATGGTCACCACAGCCCAACACTACTAGGAAATATTTTCCCGAGTATCATTCACACCCCCAACAGGTGCGCCCCTGTAGGTAGTTTTCTACAATAGGCTGTCATGGTTTGCGTCTGAACTACATGAAATACTATTAAACTGCATCGTACTAAAACCCTAATTCTTTCATAGGAAGCAACTGAAAGTGCAGAAAATATAAGACAAGATATCCACGAAATGAAAAACAGGTTTATTATAAAAGATGTATTTTTTCTTTGTTTTTTTGTCCATATGACATGTACATAACTTTGTTTCCTTGTCAGATACGGCGTTGTCGAAGCTGATAAGAAGTGTGTTTCATGTTCGTTTCCTTTGTTAACAAGAGCTTTCTATATTTTCCCCTGTCATCATGCTTTTCATGCAGATTGCCTTGTTGATGAGGTACATTTGTTATCTGTCTTCTGTTTTAATGATGTTTGAACTAAATAAATCACTTGCTATGCAATATTAAGAATTGTGTTTTCTCCTTCTGTTTTTTAAGGTTTTGCCTCACCTCAAAGGAAAACAACGGTTGGTGTTTGCTTGTTTGTTCGTTTGCTTGTTTGTCTTATTGATCTAGTGTTACTACCGGAGGAAACCTAAACTAAACGAACTTTGTTTATACTGGATAGTTTTATCAGTTCTAAATGTTTTCCCTATATAGAGTTCCAGAAAGGATCATCTCTTATTGATCCAGTGTTACTACAGGAGGAAATCTAAACTGAACTAACTTTATTTATACTGGATAGGCTCATAGCTCTATCAGTTCTAAATTTATATCTAGGATTCCCGTGTTTTTTAGGAAGAAACTCGAGCAACTCAAGAAAAAGCTGTACCGTATGGACGACCCAAGCCCAAGACCTGGAAGCCGTAATCGGGAGAATGATCCCAGAATAATGCCTGAAGACTCTTTTGAAAAATTAAAGGTAATGTGTTTATCATCTGCATAACCTAACAATAAGGAGTTTACGATCTATGACGCGGCCGGCTCGACGACGCACTTTCAAAACAAAGACATTTGGTGCTTCCACAAACAATAGTATTATGTGTTTTATCGCCATGCAAACCTACAAAGAACTTACAAAGAAATTTGTCATGCAAGACAAAAACTGTCAATAATTTGTGGTCCCATGAGTATTGTCAAACGCGTTGTCATTCTCAACACAACGTTAAAAAAGCATTATTACGTCTTTCAGGCAACGCGAAAGCTTAATGCGACACAAGAGGTGTTACTAAAAGTCGAAATTACAGCAAACATTGCATCGCTTTAGCCGAACGTAGCATTTTGTAAGGTTATTTGAAAGAGTCAAATATTTATTACAGTATAATCGAATTGCTTAGCGCTCATTCTTGAGCTAAAATTTAGACCGCGTCGGTGAGTCGGCCGCGTCGCAGATCGTAAACTCCCTAATAAGTAGAATACAGTTGCATACCGTTGCAGCGCTCTAACCAACTGGGCTACAGAGTCCAGTTGTCGAGCTCTAACCACAAATTCATGAATCGAATTTGCAGACCTGCTATAACTTGTTAGAGCGTTGCATCAGAATCGCAGGACCGCATGTTCGATTCTTATATTGTTCTTGTATTGGATTAGCGCTAACCCTGGGTTAAAATTTAACTTGATGTTTTAGTTTGTGAATTTCTGCATGCTTGTTTATTCTGAAGCTTCAGAAAATACTAGTTTTGTTGATCCGGACAAAATTTCTGAAAAAATATTTCCATGTTTATAAACAGGCAGTTTTATAACAAACGTACTTGCAGGGAGGTGAGTCCGGGATTGGACGCACCGAGGGTGGCTGGAAGTTTCCCGAACTTACCGAGCGAAGCGAGGTGAGTTCGGGAAACTTCCAGCCACCCGAGGTGCGTCCAATCCCGGACTCACCGAACCTGCAAGTACGTTTGGTTTTTATCCCATACACCGAGCTATACACACATTTGTAGCTCTTCGCAATATATTCGTCGATGTTTTGTGAACATTTTCCCGGCCAAAAAATCACTGGGCAAGAAAATTCTTCTTTATCTACGTCTACAATACCTTTACTGCACTTTTTCTTTGGTTTTTCTTCAGTCTCAGTATGTTAGTCACCGAAAAAGTTCTTTAAAGTTTAGGTTTATCGGCTAAATCTTGTCCGCCATATTTGTTATTGTTATTGCAACGTAAGCAGTTTAGCGGGTGAGCTCGGGCGAAAAGCAGGTGAGTTCGGAAAAAAGCAGGTGAGCTCGACGACAAGCTCACCTGCTCTAAACCAATCAGAAAGCCGCTTTTAACACAGGTATGGGATAAGGAAGTTTGCTTTGAAAATTTTCGCCCCCAGGGTCATATCTCCGCTAACTCTACTTTTGTAAGAAAGATTTCATTTTTCATCACAGGCAGATCAAGATGAGCTGGTTGCATCCGAATGTGTTTTGTGTGGAGAATATATGATACGATCAATTGATCAGCCGTTCATAACGCCTGAGGAATACGATGATGTCATAAAGAGTTGGGAATGAGATTTTATATGAACGTGGGACTGTGTCAATCGTCAGGCGGGATAAGCCAGTTCGCAATCTCACTCGATATTGTAGTATAGCAGATTGGTGGCAAAGTTATGCATTTGATGATAACAGCACACAACTTGGCATAACGTTAGGGTATACCCTAAGGACATTTTTTGGCTATAGGGGCATTACAGCTATAGATCCTGGTAGCCACAACATTTTGTTTTTCTTACCATTTACCCATTAAAGTACTATGATATAAAAAAGTGAAATTTCAAAGTTCCCTTTTAGCAAATATCGCTTATATCGTTAGAAAGATCGCAAAAAACTATGTGAAGAGCATTAAGCGGGTAGTACGGTTTTCCGAGTTATTATAACAGTCAAAAACCGCAAAATGGTACAAAGAAGCCACAAAATACTGTTTTTTAGCACGTTTAACCTTATGTAGCTTAAAAATCGGTGTCGAAAATCATAGCAGCCGTTTAAATGTCCTATATTTAGTTTTTTTCGAGTTTAGTTTCTAACGATATAGGTGATAAAAGTGAACTTTCAAATTTCACTTTTTTATAAGATAGTACTTAATAGGTAAATGGTGAGAAAACCAAAATTTTGTGGGCTACCAAGAGCTAATCTGTAATGCCCCTATGGTCAAAAAATGTCCTTTGGGTATACCCTAACATTATGCCGAGTTGTGTGCTTTTATCATCAAATTCACAATTGTTCTATAATTTTCACCAATCTGCCCCACTAGTAGAACTACTTGTGGAAGGGTTTTAGTTGAAAATTTCGAGTATAAATTTTATACATTTATCACACCTAACATTTATTACACCTTAGGCCCTATAGTTTTTCGCAACTCCCCGTGGTTAGGTGTGATGAATGTTTAACACTCTATCTCTTCAAAACCCTTCCACAATTATATTGTCCATATCTATGGTCTATGTTCTCTGAGGTGGAAAGACAGTACCCCCAAATGGCGAATATTGACCCGCTTGAAAAAGAGATTAATTAGTTCAAATTGGAATATGATAAATTATCAATAATTGTACATAGATGTTCAAGAATTTGTTTTGATTCAGTAGAGTGGTGCTGTGATGTTTTATAGTCTGACTGTTTAGTGATTTATATCGTCCTCCTACACGTGATCTACACACGCAAAAATCTCGCATCTTGTAGCAACTCTGCCAACAAGCCATCAACAAGTTGTGTTCGTATTGCTTGTCCCAATGGAACAAGCCGTTAACAACTTGTAACGATCTTGTTGATATTATCAGGCTTGTTGTGCAAGGTTCCAACAAGTCCGATAAAGTCATGATATAACAATATTGTTACAACCTTGTGTCGTCAACCTTGTAACATTCTTGTTATATCATGACTGTATCAGACTTGTTAGAACAACCTTGTAACATGCAAGTCTGATAATGCCATCAAGCTTGTTACAAATTGTTAACAGCTTGTTACAAACTTGTTAAGTCCTGGGCAAACTAGGAAACATTGTTGCGGAAACATTGTTTCCTGCCAATGTTTCGCCATGTTTCGCAGAGTGGGCAAACACTAGGAAACATTAGTGAGAAACATAGTGAAACATCAAATGTTTCTGAATTCGCCAGGAAACATTTTTGCTTCCCGGGAAGCAAATTTTGTTTCCGCAACAATGTTTACAAGGGAGGGCAAACAGGGAAACATTTGAGGAAACATCGAGAATCACAAATGTTTCCGCAATTAGGCCTAACAATGTTTCCTAGTTTGCCTAGGGCTTTACAACAACTGGGAACAAGCAGTGCGAACAAAGTTGTTGACAGCTTGTGAACAGATTTGTAATAACTTGTTTGCAGACCTGTAACAACTTGTGCGTTTTTACGTGTGTAGCAAGTCTGCCAACAAGCCGTCATCAAGTTGTGTTCGCACTGCTTGTCCCAAGTTGTCAACAAGTTTCGAACAAGCTGTTAACAACTTGTAACAACCGTGTTGATAATATCAGACTTGTTCCATACAGGTCCGATACAGTCATGATATAACAATATTGTTACAACTTTGTGTCGTCAACCTTGTAACATTCTTGTTATATCATGGCTGTATCAGACCTGTTGGAACAACCATGTACCAAATCTGATAATTAACGCCATCAAGCTTGTTGTTTCAAACTTGTTACAACAACTAGGAACAAGCAGAGCGAACACAAATTGTACCAACGTACAACCGCACAAGTTGTTACAGGTCTGCAAAGAAGTTGTTACGAATTTGTTCTCAAGCTGTCGACAAGTTGTGTTCGCACTGCTTGTTCCCAGTTGTTGTAACATATTTGTAACAAGCTGTTAACAACTTGTAACAAGCATGATGGCATTTTCAGACTTGTTACAATGTTGTTCTAACAAGTTTGATGTAGTTGTGATATAACAAGAATGTTACAAGGTCGACGACACAAGATTGTAACAATATTGTTATATCATGACTGTATCGGACTTGTTAGAAGAACCTAGCATTACTAGCAACAAGTCTGATAATGCCGTCAAGCTTGTCACATGTTGTTAACTGTTTGTTCCAAACATGTTGACAATTAACTTGGGACAAGCAGTGCAAACTTGTTGGCAGACTTGTTACAAGATGTGAGATTTTTACGTATGTAGCATTTCTGCCAACAAGTCATCAACAAGTTTGTGTTTGTACTGCTTGTCCCAAGTTAATGTGAACAAGTTTTATACTTAACAAATATAAAACATTTTCCGTGTTGATATACAGTTATATCAACACGAGTGGAAATTGGGAAAACGAGAAATTGTGTGGAAACACGACGCCCGAAGGGCGGAGTGTTTTCACACAATTTCGAGTTTTCCCAACTTCCACGAGTGTTGATATAACTATATATCAATACGGAAAAATGTTTTATATTTGTTTTATAATATAGCAATGTCAAAAGCCCGAAGAATAAGAACAATTTCCGTGTTACAAGCGGCGGAAAATTTCCCGTGTTGACATGGAGTTATATCAACACGGCTCTTAGCCAATCAGCGTTCAGAATTTACAAATGCTATATTATAAAAGCTGTTAAAATATCAGACTATTTGCAAGGTTGTTCCAACAAGTACGATACAGTCACGATATAACAATATTGTTACAACCTTGTGTCGTCAACCTTGTAACATTCTTGTTATGTCATGAGTGTATCACAGTATCAGACTTGTTAGAACAACTTTCCTACAAGTCTGATAATGCCATCGAGCTTGTTACAAGTTGTTGACTGTTTGTTCCAAACTTGTTACAACAACTGGGAACAAGCACTGCGGAAACAACTTGTTGACAGCTTGTGAACAGATTTGTAACAGTTTGTTTGCAGACCTATGTGCGTTTTTACGTATGTACAAAGTTGACGACACATGCAAGGTTGTAACAATGTTGTTATATCATGACTGTATCGGACTTGTTGGAACAACCTTGCAACAAGTCTGATAATATCAACATGGTTGTTACAAGTTGTTAACAACAGCTTGTTCGCCAGATGATCCACCCGCTCAGGGCTAAATCATAATTCGTCAGAAACCCATTCAGTCGTACAGTTCAGGTCAGTGGATCATACGGAGATCTTCGGTCATTTTCCGGAAAGGTATCGAATATCTCCGAACAAGGCACATCGGGTCGAAGCTAACGCCACGTGAAAGATGCGATTCATATATTTTCCCCAACAAGTGGACAAGCTAGACTCAACAAAAGACACTTCAAGGGAATCACCAATAAACCAAATTCGCCTCTATGGCGAGCAGTGGCCGAAAAAGGCGACTCGTTTCGTCTTTGGACGGGGAGGTTTTAGAGCGACTGTCCATGAAACTAAACCCGAGAATGCTTTTGAAGGACTATCAGTCCCTAGCGGGCCGCCTCAAATATACGTATGAGTTTATACGGAATTTCGCACGCGAGAGAGATCCTACGTTGGCTTTGCTTCAGCATTGGTGGTCTTCAAAACGGGGCAAGGAAAAGACAGTCACTATCTTGCTAGAGCTTTTATCTGATATGGAAAGAGACGATTGTGTTGACCTGTTACGGCCTTATGAATTCTACAGTAAGTAAGCTTCTTTGTAGTATTTTGAAATGCGTTTCACTACTTTTTAAGATGTTAAAGCTATTCGCTACCTATATCGGTTTTCGGTCAATGTTATTCGAACGTTTATTCACTGTACACGCCATCTGAAGACGTTACAGAACTGGATATATTCGAAATTAACATGCCACAAGACCCAAAATCGACATGGTGTGTAGGTCTAGGACGTGTCATGACATGCAGAAGCTTATTACAATTACTGCATATGTATGTTTGTTTATTGAAAGATTAACTCTGCGTTTTTTACTACGTCTTGTAGTAAGCAACACTTAAAAACCTCTGCGTCAGTATTTCAAAGAAAAATCCCTGTGTAGATTAGCTGGAATAGCGATTTCTAGGTTACTAACATATGCTATACACCGCGTCTTATCAAGATTTAAGCTTGTCAAAAATCTATTGATAAATAATTTTATAGTAGATATGAATTTGCGGCATTTTTTGCCGCATTTTTGTGGCTTTAAGTAAATATATTTTACGATACGAATTGAATTAAAGGACGGTTTTATATAGCTAGGGTTAACTGTCCATTTGCTGGTGATATTTGGAATATTTTAATTGTAGTATTTTGGTAATGTAATCATATACGGTGTTATGTTTTGATGTGTTACATGAAGTTAATTTTAGTTATTGATAACACATTATCACAGGCTAAGATTACATGTTAGATGCATTTGCTTATTGAATACTTTAACTATTAAGTTACTTGAAAAGCAAACTTCGTGCCAACAAGATACACCAGTGTAAAATTTACGATCCACAGTGCTCACATGTACACATAGCTTAATCAGTTTAATCATATATTTATATAAACATCCAACCATTTCGCCTAAAGCAAGCCCGTTTCGAGACAGCTTAAACATAATAGAGAATGGCTTTTATCAAATGCTCTTGTCAAATGGAGTTTTTACACATAAAATTTCGCAATAAACCTAGTGTTTTCTTAATGGCTCAGATTCATGCGTATTTTTCTACGAATGGTCAATCATAATATTTTGTTTATTTTTGAACACATACTTGGCTGAGTTCCAGATGTAACTAAATGTGGCAAAATTATGTTCTAATTGATTGAATAGTAATGTAACATGGACATTTAGTTTTGAAATTTTCCGAAATTCCAAGCTTCATTCTCCTAGATATTAAGCATTGTCTTTGTTATTTTAATGTCATGGGGGGCAACGTCCTTATAAAAGATGCCAAAGGCTGTGTATTGTTTTGAGAAAACATTAGTTGGCTATCAATGTCCCTATAGCCCCTGTCAAACCGTGGGCAAATGCACAGTAAACATTAGATAAAACATTCTTAGTATGATGATATTGGCCTTGCAGTCTTTCACCTTATAATACACTGGGCATTGAAGTATATTATTTTTTCTTTTGAATAGGTATAAACATTATATTGAGGCATTATTAACAAAGCCTTTTAGAAACAAAAAGATTTAGGAAAATTGTTTGTCAAAATTGAATTGTCGGATTTAAAATTTTCGAATATGGTGTTCATAGCTGGACAGTTCAAATGAGGAAGGACCCACTTAAGCTGTCGTGGTTTGTGTCTGAACTACATGACAAAAGATTGTAAACACTTCAAACTTTAGGAAGAATGCCCTTAAGTAAAGGTCAGTGTAGTTGTTTTTGGGTTGTTCAACACAAACAACAGCAGCTTATTGTAGAATATTATCTACACTGGACCTCCACGATTAAGATTTTATTTTCAGTTAGTCCAGACACAAAACCCCATTTATGAGGCTGCTTATAATAGAATTCTACAGGGAGATAACTGTGGATTGCAGGGGATACAAGTACAACTGCCTGAAAAGTACAAGCAGAACTTCGATGTTTCGAACGAAGGCCCTTTGTGCCCTTGGTCGGAAGTTTGCAACCCTTGTACTGTACATAGACAATTTGAGACTACTACAACTACTACAGTATTGACAACGGATCCCACATTTGAGATATAACTTTTCACGTACTGTAGTACCATGATGGCTATCATGTTGTATATGATAGCCTGTTGTACATTGGTACTACCTACACTGGTACAGACAGTTGTTGTATAATACTACCTACTGTACATTTGACTTCCACATTTGAGATATCGCTTGGTCATTCAGACGCAAACTACAGTAGTTTATTGTACTATACTACCTACACTAGACCTCCACATTTGGGGTATTGTCAAGGGACTACTCATGCTATTTTTACAGTACAGTATGCCTAATATTAGATACAATTTCCACAAGAGCGTGCCCTTGTCCAATTTGTGCACACCTTGCCCCTTAAAAAGTCTAGCAAGCACTTGTGAACAAGGGTGCATTAGGACCCTTCACTTTTGTGAATGAAATACTTCAATGGTGAAAGGAATTAACCATGGCAACTTATTATAATGTGTGGGCACAGGGTGTGCATATATATACCGATAGTCGTAGCTAGGGGTGACCCTGGACCCCCACACACAACCACACACTTCTTTCCTACAATGTGAATGATATGTGGGGTATATAACTACAGTAACAGATATATAACTACTGTCACAGAACCTTGAAATAATGATCGGACATTTTCTGACCAAATCCCAGTTTTTCCTTCCAAATGCCGGTCATTTTGTCCGGACAAAAAATAACAATCAACCTTCTTGCAAGACTATTAACCTGCTTGCAATCATCCTGCAAAGAGCATTAAATGTAGTGTTTGGCATAAAGTATTATTTGTATATTGGCTTACCCAATGAAGGCATGAAATCAAAATGGAATCGAAAAAATGGCCCGACCAAATTTAAAAGTTTCCATCAAATGTTATTTCGGTGGAACATTTATCTGGACATGTTTGATATTTTAACACACACACATAGACAGACAAAAGCACAGATAAAAACATTATAGATTCCTTTTCACTACCAGTATGCCTCTGTCCATCTCACGGTGAAACAATAATGTTAATACTTTTGTTATTTAATTGTACTTTCAGTGTCACACGAAGCGTCAGAGTTAGATGAAAGACCGGTTATTGCTGGGGCAACAGGTAATTATTTTCATTGTATTGTAGAGTGAGGCGGTTCCATGTATAGTAAAAACTAAAAACTAAAATCCATCTGGAAAAGAAACATGACAAAGAATTTTTGTAACTTTGAATATTTTGCGATGAGTTTTATACTGTTTTTGTATCAAACTGCCTTCGCAGACAGCTGCCTTCTATCGAACCATGGACAATAAAATAAATGGATAGGAAACTAGCTGACGTGACCTACTGTTTTCAATGGGCTGATGGCGACTGATTGGATGTTGAAACCTAGTTGCAAACCAAATTCTCAAAAACGGCTTGTTTAGCAATAATACAGCTAAAAATTTTAGTCAAAGAGCAAATGAATATAACCACGCCATTCTACGATGAAATCTCTAAGTATTCCCAGTCAATTTTAGCAAATATTTCAAGCACTAGTAAACAGTGAAAAAGGCATCCCAAATTTTGTTAAAATTGGGGACGCCAATTTCGTAGCTACAAATGTAAAAAAATACAAAACAAAGACGAAAAACGTTTATCTTGAATACTTTGTCGTGGCTTAGGCATGTTTTTAAAACAATTAGACCAGTATATGCTTCAATATTACTCTTTTAAAGCGGAAAGTATAGCGAAACAACAAAAATGCCGAGAACTTTGCAATATGCGTGACGTCACAGATTGCAACTAGGTTGTTTTTGCTTACGTCAGCTAGAGTCCTATCCATTTATTTTATTATCCATGATCGAACTAATCAAGCATGTAATCCTTTTATCTGCTTATAGCTTCAATGCTTTGCAATTTTGCACAAATGTATGGAATTACTGCCATTTTGTTGCAATATTACTCAGTTTCGCACAGCTTTTTGCTAATGTTTTTTGTCTGGAACAACATTTAGTTGAATCGGTTTTCAAAAAACATCAGGTTTTTTCAGATGCTGTTTCATTCAGCTTCTGAAACTTGTGCATTCCATATCGGATAGGTGCTTTTTTGAGCTGCTACAGAAAGCTATCCTGTATAGTGTAAATGTAGCGTAATGTCTATATTGCTATTTGCTTTACTATAGACCAAAATGTTAACCCATACAATCCATATTTTCCTGCACGAGATGACCATCAAGGGCAGGCAGGTCAGCTTGGGACAGCTAAACCAGGTCAGTAAGTCTATATTTATTGTTTTTCAACAAGTTGCATTTGCAGGCATGTCGGTGTAGAAACATTTTGGAAACTCAAGGTCAATTATAACTTTGGATTACAACTTCGCAGCACTTTGGGACTTGCTTTTGGAACTTCAGTTGTAGCAGTACGGAATATAATGGTAGGCAGCCCACTATTCAGAGAACAAAACACTAAATGGCTGATTAATTTACTACTGACTGTACTGTTCATAAAGCATAAAAACAAGAGAAGGAACACAAAATGTTTTCTTGGCTTCGCGGTGACAGGCAACAAAATGTCAAAAACATGTCACAAGTTTATAGTACCAGACATGCAGAACAGGGCTGTAGCAACCGGGGGGGGGG